ATTTCTCTTTGGAGTGATTAGAAGTGCGCTACCTCTGTTGCTGAATCTGTCCTCACCTGTGTTACTCCTGAAGAAATTTGGACTGAGATACAGAGTTCAAAGGAAGAATGCTCATCTGTTAGTAACTCATTCAAGAAATCTGCTTTTTAATACCTTCAGTAAAAGTATTCCCAGAAGGCTTAATTAGTTGTCCTACAAATGCATAATCCCTCTTTCTTTGGTTAGAACTTCCTTTTTCATCAAGCTGGTGTTTCTTTGCTTGTGCGACTGCTTCCCATGAGACCTGTTCTCCCTCTTTCCTGATTCCAGTCAGTTCCACGTGTGTGCTGTGGTGCACAAATCAGGCCTTGTCTTCTGCGTCTCAAAAGACTAGTTTTTCTGGCTACACTGAAGAAGCAATCCAGGCAACCGGTCTATTGCTACTGCTGGTGCTGACAGACTGCCACCACCGAGCTCTGCAGGACCCAGGTTGAGAGCTGCCAGAACCTGCATTTCACGTGTTCAGAGGAGACAAGCTTGAAGGCAGCCTTGTAACAGTGATTAGAGCTGCCACGTCCCAACTCACAATGAAACCTGTGGCAACCAGCAGTCCCACCATCTCTGGGCTGCTGGTGTTCCAAGGCCCAGCTGGAGCTCCACCAGAAATGGAAAGTGAAGCATTTCATTTTTCTTCTTAAGCTCCCCAGTTACACTGACTTGATGTTGCCTAAAGGAGAAGTGGACAAGGCCGTAGTGCTCATGAAACCTGACAAAGCTGAAGTCCTTAATAGCAACATCCTAAAACGTAGCAGCATTTGGCCTCAGCTTGGCTACAGCTGGCTGGCACACATCTCTGTCAGTGTGTATTCCTCTGGAAAAACACATGATATGCCAACATGAACCTCCAGTGAAGAAGAGCAGTGATCCAGGAAAAAACGCTCTAAGCAGATATTGTCGCTGTGCATAATGTGCAAGTCCTTGGAAGGGATACTGTGCTGAGGTGCCACTTGTGAACAATTGCATCCAGAAAAGCTTAACCTCGCTTCAGAGCAGAATGAAGTGCTTGTGACCAAGTAATTGGACTGATGGCCCATAGTGAAGTCAGCTTCCAGAGCTGGACAGGACATCAGAGACTGGCAGGCTGTCTGCAACGTAATGCATGGTTGGCAGAACGGTGCTGCTGAAGGTGTTGAGAGCCAACTGCATATTGCCAACAGTGCGTTGCACTGACCAAGCCGGTGCTCTGCAGAGGAGAATAGACCTACAGATTACATACACGGCCATCTGCCATGGCACCGTCTCATCATTGCAAGGACATGCCAGCCGTGGAAGCTTGGGCGCACAGCTGATTTCTCACATGTGGTTCCAGCAACCCTGTTCCCCGAGAGCAGGAATAGCCAACTTCCCAGGCCCTGTAAGCCAACAAACAAAAAAGAAACTGTGCCGAGAGCCAGGGAGGCCTTGCAGCACAACCTGCCACATGATGTGGGTCTCGTGGGACCTGCATCTCCACTGTTGGCAAGGCCCATGCTGCCAGACAGCCATCGTGTGTCCACCACTTCAGTGAGGAGCACACCTGCACAGGGCTGCTGCAGGTCTGGCCCTGCTGCCTCTGCATCTCCCTGGGCAGGGAGGGCTGCCCGCAACACCTCTCCATGTCCCCAGCATCGCAGCATCTCAGCAGATAATTGTTAATTCCTTGTCAACAGGCAGGTGGAAACTAATTTGCGTGTTGTGACAGCAGCGCTGAGGTTGCTGTTGTCTGAGCTATACCTGCATGCCAGTCTTACCCTCGTCTCCTGAAAGAGGGGCAGCAGGAATACCAGAACACTACTGGACAATAAGGCTTCGATTTACCCATTTATGGAGCCTTCCAAATCCTCTGGAGCGATGTCCTACATTCATGAACCCTTTTTGTTTGCAGCCTAAACTCAAAAATGCTCAGGACAAATTGCAGCACTTGTGGGGCAAGTCTCTGCTGTCTGAGCTCACATACAAAATTACTCCATGGCCCAGTTGTTCTTCCTCACAGCAGACCACACAGAGCCTTGTGTGGAAGCTCTCAGCACCCCCTGCACCCCAGAAATTGAAGGACTGCCCAGTATGAAGCAGTGCAGAAAAAGTCTGGAGTCATGAGCACATAGCATGTCGCTGCCCTCTGAAATCCTCGGTGCAGCAACCGTCATTCATCCTGTAGCAAGATTCATTCATGTTTGGGCACAGATTTTGATTTGTTTTCCCAACCATAGGGAAGAGGAATCTTCAAACAGTAACTCCGTATGGCTGATTGCATGCCTTGAAGGTAGGGCCATGGCTTCATCCCCGTGCGTTGCTCACACTATGCCCAAAGCACGTCCTCATCCGGCAGTACCACCCAAAATGCCTCGTGGGCTCCCAGCTTCCTCTGAACAGAGCTATTGATTTGACAACCAGGTGTCCTCTTTGCTATCCAGCGAGCATGTGTTGGTGACCTGGAGTCCTCAGTACCCTCCAGCTTAAGACTCTCTTCTCCTTTCACAGACTCTGTGAAATTTCCCACTCTGTCCCACTTTGGGCAGGTTAAACAAGCCTTTGGCACACCAGGTGCTGTGTCTGCAGCCATTTCTGTTCGCATTTACCTTTCTTGAACACAAGTGACCAGAACTGTGCTCAGAATTTCAGATGAGAGTGTAGCGGTGTCTCCTATGGCAATATGAATGCATCCTCATGTCTGTGAGAAATACACACCTTAGATCTTGCAGTGTTTCTCTTTTCCATGGCCATGCTACGTTGGTGCCTCCCAGTCACCCCCTCCTGGCATCTATCAGTAGACCCAGAACTTTGTCTCCATCACTTCTAGTAGACAGCAGAGATCCTTTGCCAGCCCTCTGGGCAGGACGCCGTATTTTATACTGTTGCTTTTCGTTCTGTTTCTTGTACTGCAGCCCTCAAGGTCATTCAGCTCTTCCTCTTCTGTATTGGCGGAGCTTCCCAAATGTGATTCATCGTCATGCTTCTTTATAACCCTCTTGCTTTCTCTGCCAAGGTGGCAAGAAAATAAGAATAAGAGAAAACATGTTTAAGCTCACAGACTATGAACAGACCTTCATACTTGTGTTAAGCTAATCCTTTCGGAGCCATCTCTCTAAGAAATTACTGGTGCTTATTAACCTCCCAAAGTGTGGGTCTTGTGTGGTGTGTGCATTAGTGGCAGCAGGTCTATGCAGTCAGCTGTACCTTTGGACTCCTGTAGCCATCAACAGGTTTCCAGAAGGTCCATCTGTTCCAGGAGGGACCTGAGATGGGAGGGCAGAGCTTGGAGGGTGGCAGGGAAGCAGAGGAACCGTACTGCGCTGGGCTGCACGCAGGGCACCATGCAGACAGCCCAGAGGACTGCTTGTTTGTTAACCGACGTCACACCCAGCCTACAGCCAGAAAGGTGCCAAGGAGCTGCGGTTCTGTTGCATTTTATCGGTTAGTCTGGAGGACAAGCAAACTGACATTGCTTGCCCCAAATGAGTGGTCATGGACTATTTAGCAATGAGATAACCAACCCAGCCCCGGTAATGCCGTGCCTCTTGGCCCAAGGCTGTGTAGCCCCGAAGCAGCGGACCCTTCCTCCCCTTCCTCCCCATTCACGCTCGGTCAGGGCTGCAGCACTTCTGCTGTGGGAGCATCCAGGCCCCTGAGCTGCCGCGGGACGTGGGCCCCTGTTGAGAACCCTCCTTGGAGCTGAGACCCCGCCAGCCTCAATCGGAGGCTATCACAGAGCAGTGACCAAAGCCCTGGGGTGGGTTCAGGGTGCTGCGTTCACTTTCACTGCCAGGACAGAGAGACTGCACGGGAGCCCCAGGTCCCTCCCGGTCAGAGCCCTGTCCCCAGCCGCAGTCAGCAGTGGGTGCTTATGGGAGGAGACCCCAAAGCAGGGCATGAACAGAGCCGGGCCCAGCAGCGTGCCTTCCCGAGGCCTCCCAGGCTGAGGCACTCACCCAGCTCATTGCGCTCAAAGGACTCATCCTCCATGATCTTGCCCTGCCAGGTTTTAGATCCCTTTCTTTTCTCATACCCAGAGTACTTGTTTATGCTAGGGGAGGCAATAAAGGCAAGAGGCAAGGGCAGAAGGAAGGCATGCTTGCGGTGTGGTTTGTCCCACATCAGAGGCTCTCGTAGTGGTGAGCGGGTAGAGCCAAGTGCTGCAGGAGGGGCTGCCCCCGCCCCCTGCCCAGCTCCATGGCCTGTGCCCACCACGTTGCAGGATGCAGGCCAGGGAGGCGGACGTTGCATAGCACAAGGGGAAGACCAGTCCAGACACCTCTGGGCTGCTTCAGCCCACACTAACGAGCTGACCACCATCGGGTGACGATCAGACCCTGCTGCCTCCATCCTTGGGGTGGCGTGACGGTCCTCCCGTCCCCACACTGCTCTCTGGGGAGATGGCCGAAGGTTCCCTCTTGTCCCAGGAACAGGCTCTGCCCCGACGGGCCAATGTGCTCAGGAGCGCTGGTTTGCTCCAAGTCCATGGCGGGACCTGAGAGCACGCCGACAGCAGTGTGGTTAGTGAGGGGAGACTTGGGGGTCCCCGGTGGGAGGTGGGGCCGGTGGGCATTGATGCAGCTCTGCCACAGCTTCTTGCTGACCAGCTGAGGCAGGGAGAGGTGCAGGGTCTTCAGCTGCAGCAAGTCTTTGTGTGCACCCAGCGGGCTGCAGGGCCACCTTCCTCCCTGGTAGGTCTCGATGGGCTTCAGAGCTGTGGCAGCTAGGGCAGGTTTGGCCGGGAACCGGAGATACTGGAGATACTTGCTCGAACTTCTTCTACCTCCTCTGGAACAGCCCTGGCAGGGCTTGCAAGAAAGGCTTGGCTGAAGTGCTCCGAGCCGTGTCCCCAGCGCTGCAGAGCCCCCTCCTGTCTCAGGCTGGCCCAGCCCTCCAGCGGCCCCCCCCCCATGTATATTGTGTGTGTGCTCCTGTGTCTGGGGACCTCCGCCTCACCCCTGCCCTCTGCTCTCTCTCCTCTCTCTCTCGCTGTACCGTTCTTTCTGCAGACTTTTCAGTAGTTTAGGAGAACTCAGCACCATTTCCCAGCGGAGCTCCGGGACCACCTACACAGTCCGACCTGGCAGTCGCTACCCTGTAACCCGACGTACCCCCAGCCCCGTGAAGCCGGCTCTGGATCGGACAGAGCCCCTCAGCACCGTCCGGCCCTACGGTCTGACCCCTCCCACCATCCTCAAATCTTCCAGCCTCTCCATCCCACACGAGCCCAAGGAGGTGCGCTTTGTGGTGAGGAGCGTGAGCGCCCGGAGCCGCTCCCCATCCCCGTCCCCCTCTCCAGGGCCACCCCTGCACACCCTCCACCCACCTCGGCCCTTCATGCAGAAACCCCTCCACCTGTGGAACAAGTACGACGTCGGGGACTGGCTGGAAAGCATCAATTTGGTGGAGCACCGAGACAAGTTTGAGGACCATGAAATAGAGGGCACGCACCTGCCTGCCCTCACCAAGGAGGACTTTGTGGAGTTGGGGGTGACCCGGGTCGGGCACCGGATGAACATTGAGCGGGCACTCAAGCAGCTGGTAGACAGCTGACCGTGCCAGGCAGCGCTGGCCTCTTCCAGAGCCACCACGGGGGGTGGGGGGGCATTTCTACTAGACTAATAAAACCCACTTTGATTCTCTTTCTATTCTGAGCACTGCACTGAAGGGCGTGGAGCCGAGGGGCTCCCGCCCGCTCCCACACCGCCCCGGCGGGCCACGCACACGCAGACCCCGCTCGGCCCCGCCAGCCCCGCGACGCCTTCGGGACAAGGAATGTTGCATGAAATACATCCTCATTTCTGTTCCTCCCAGAGAGTCTGGCCTGTATATCGCTTGATGTGCTCTTCCCCAGGGGCGTCGCTGGTGGCCGGAGGGGCCGAGGCACCACGTGCTGCCGAGCCCGGGCTCCCCGTGGTCGAAGGGCAACACCTGGTCGGGGTGGGGAGCGGGGCAGGGCCAGTGGTGCAGTGAGGAGCTGAGCCCCAACTAGGGAAAGGGCTTCTGCTGTAGGCCAAGTGCTGGCCATGTTGCCCAGGTGTGACAGGCAGGGAGACGCCAGTTGGAGCGTGGCAGGGAGGCGAGCGGGCCGGGCGCGTGCCGCCGGGCCACATCTCAGGCAGGTAGGGGCAGCCCCCGGTATGGAGACCCTGAGCTGCTCTGAGCCGGCAGGTGTGGTGGAAGCACGGCAGGGCAGGGGCTGCTGCAGGAGGCAGGCAGGGCCGGCACCGGTGCTGGTGCTCAGTCCGTGTTGGGAAGAGCAGGCAGGAGGCACCACGGCTGCAGTGGTGGCCCCGGCCGCGTGCAGGCTCTCCCCGCTGGGGTCGGAGGCAGCTGGCCGAACCGGGTTGTCCTGCCAGTGCTTGGAGGGAAAGGGCTCCAGCACACAGAGGTCTCCGTGGAAGGGCAGTCCCAGCACGGTGGCTGGGTGGATGCCTGCGGTGACGCCCAGACCTGCTCCCTCCTGCGCAGAGTCGCCCCAGGGAGCAGCCAGCCTTGCCGTAAAAGCCAGAAGAGCAATTCCCGCGTGAGAGACTAGCCCTGGACTCTGTGCTGCTGCTCTGCCCGTCACCCTTGGTTGCCCTGGTGAGAGAGGGACTGAAACCGCATGGATAGAAGCATGTTTGGGGATGTCAGAGGGAGGCTGGTGGGGAATCCAGCAGAAAATGCTTTGCCAACGTTCCG